TTTTTGTAACAAAAAACATGCCATAAAGAGAAGCACAAATCTACCTGTTTCTCAAACTATAAGAGAAAAAAAGATAAAGATGTCTTCAAATTGAACTCTGCTGTTGATGATTTAATTCATGCAGTCTTCTTGGCAGAGTTATGGAAGTGAATTTCATTACTTTCTTATGGGATTTTTTCCACTTTGCAATCTAGCCAACTGCTTTGGTATGCTCCGGTGGTCAGATGGTCCTACTGAAGAATGCTAAACAGATCTGACCCAGCTTTTGTTCCAAAAAACATTCACTGAGTCAACTGAATGATGCTTCTGGTTGAGGCCTCATTAAGCACATTTTCAGTGTTCTTCTAGGGAAAGATCTGTGCCAATCCTTTAGAATTGATGCTACTTTGATGCACCTAATTGTCTTCAATAAGACCTGGACAATAATTAGAATAGATAGATAAAGGGAAGAAGTCTGTGGAGATTCTCAGTCATCCAGGATATGGTTGTCCAAAAAGTACTTTTTAAAGAGACAACTGGACTTTCTGGTTTTTCTTTGAAGACATTTCGCTCTGAAGAGCTAAAGAAGCTTCTTGGATGAGAAGCAAAATTTTATCTTCAAATAAAACCCCCAAAGTCCAGTTGCCTCTTGAAAAAGCACCTTTGGGATGATAAAGGGAAGTATATTTATACCTTTTATCCAGATTTATGGTAGTTTCCAAGAAGATGAAATGATTTAGGAAAGCTTGAGACCCATTATTTTATTATTTTAGATCTTAAACAATATATTGTGTATCAGGTCTATCAAACATTCCAGAAAGTGACACAACTTTTTAAAGAAGCTGTGGGCAGTTGCTATGTTTGTAGTCTTGTGCCCTCTGAAAAACCTTTCTACAATCAAATAAAACATGTTATGTAACCCTACTGTGTTCCACTGCAATATTGTCTACATTTAACAAGACAGTGTCAAATCATCCCCTTTGAAGGACATCCTTCAATGTGTTCTTTTTAATTTTTGGATTATTTGTGGTGTTGTCTTGCCTACCATACACCATTGTTAGGGGAATGAATTGCATCTAGCTTTTCTGAAAACACTTTTTTCCCTGTTACATTTTGACTTTCAAGAGTTAATGGACATACTTTATGCAAAGACTGTTATGTTTAGAAGTTAACAATTAAATCTGGGGAAGGATACTGGGATACTGGTAGTCATATTCTGTTGAACTGTATGCATGAAAAAGAGATTTACCCAGGAAGTCTGAAGAATAAAGAGCCTCTGCTTATTGATTTGAGCTGAAGATACCATATAGTTGAGTATGTACATGATTGTTCAAGGTTCAGTAAATGTGACAACAAATGATCTCTTGCATGCTTCTTCCTAAATAAAGTAGAATACCATAGAAAGAGCTTTTACGTTACATGACCTTGTCTCTTGACTACAAGATGAACAGATGCCATTTAGAAAACTAGGCTGATTAAACTAATATTAATTTATGTGTTGTCCAAATTAAAGAAGCATTTCAAGAGGATAGTTTCCCCAGGAATTTGTTTATTCACATTTAGGAGAAAAAACAGCTGTAAAGGATTTATGGTGGATAACAGAATTTGCAACCACACGTTGTGATAATGGTGACTGGTTTATGTTACCTTAGAAGGGCATTGGTGAAATCATGCTGGCTGACTGTAATTTACCTGCAGGAGCAGAAGCTATTACCAGTTTCTGCAGAAGAATAGCAAAAGATGAAGGATATGTCCTTTGTGTATTCTGAGATCCAAGACTCTTAAATGAATAGTTTCCCCTCAAAGATAGTAGACCTGACTCTGCCTGGCTTTCTCTAGATTGGCTTGTCTCTTTCTTTCCCCGCACCAAAGAGGAGGGAGGCAGACCTTGCTTTGATAATGCAACAAGCTAGGTGTTATGAAGTGGGATTATTAAAACTATCTACTTGCTGCTGACAACCAGATCTCTTATTTTGAAGGCTTCATTGGCTTTTTCCAACTCTATGATTCTAAAAACATAGCATTATCTGAATTCAAATGGTAACCATAAGCATTTTGATAGATGGAGATACTGTAGATAGACAAAGAAATAGACCATATAATTATAGGGCTGGAAGGGACCCGGGAGGTCTTCTATCTAGTCCAAATCCCTCCCCCAGACAAGAGACTTTATACTATACCTTCCTGGACAATCTTTCCTTGAAGACCTTCAGTAATGGAGCACAAACTACTCTAGGAGGCAAGCTGTTCCACTGACTAATTGTTCTCAATGTCAGGAAATTTCTCCTTAGAAATATAGATTAAATATAGATTATACAGAGAGATAGAGTCAGACGTAAATTAAAATGAAATCCAGCATCAGGTTAAGTGTGGCTGCTTATGGAGGGAAGGTTGAAGTATGAAGGTACGTTTTAAGATTTTTCTTAAAGTGTGGCAAAGTGGAAGCCAACAAAACCGACTGAGGAGACAGTTCAAGAGGAGGGCAGCCACCAAAAGACCCTGCAGAAAGTTGATTCCAAGTGAGCATCTTTCTTGGCTCCCATAGGACCTTTGAGGTGGCAACATTTTGCTGGAGCAGGCTGCTGCTGCCCTTGCTATAAAGTGCAACTGAGGACAGGCCTATAAGAGCTTAGAATTGTTCAGCATGATATACTTCAACCCTGCTGGGCAAAAGTAGGCATTTTCCTAATTTTCCTAATTTAATTACATGTTAAAAATACACTGAAAAAGCTCTCTGAAATCTCATAATTACTTTGTTTGCAATTAGGGAGACAGATGTATAACCAAATACTAACTGGCAGCAATTTTGCCTTATACAGATGGTATTTTCCTGTGGAAACAGAACGATGAATGAAAGCAGAGTATGGATTATTTTATGTACCTTTTATTAAAGGTTTTAAATGGCATGTAAAAACTAATACAAACTAATACAGAATGAAGGAAACAAAGGAAGGAAAAGAGAGACAAAAATAAAAAAGAGAAAACTGCAGAAGAAAAGATTAAAAAAATAGTAAAGGAAGAAGTTTCCATTTTCTTTTCGGGCAAATGTAAGTCTAATTATTTTATTATTTTATTTTTTATTTGGAAAATTTATATTGCTGACTACTCATTCATGGCGGCTTACAGGAAATAAAAACACAATATAAAAGAAATAAAAATAATAAAAAATGAAAATAATAAAATAATAATCCCCTCCCTTCTCCCTGGTGACAATATACACTCATTCCAGCCATTTAATGGGTTCCATCCCAGTCTGGGTTCCCCAGGCCTGCTGGCAAAACCATGTCTTTTGGGCCTCCCAAAAGAGTGTGAGACAGAGGTATTCAGCAGGTTCTGACCAGTTCTGGAGAACCAGTAATGGAAATTTTGAGTAGTTCGGAGAACCGGCAAATACCACGTCTGACTGGTCCCACCCCCATCTATTCTCTGCTTCCCGAGTCCCAGCTGATCGGCTGGCTCTTCTTTTGTTGCCCTGCACAGGAGAACGGAGCTGGAAAGCAGGTTAGTGGGGTGGGGAGGGAACCTTCCCCCAGGAGTGGGGTGGGAATTTTACAGTATCCTTCCCCTGCCATGCCCACAAAGCCATGCCCACGAAGCCACAGCAAGCTATGCTTACCAAACCACGCCCACAGAACTAGTAGTAATTTTTTTTTGAACACCACCACTGGTGTGAGAGTAAGGGACAGTCTAATTTCCAGAAGGATGATGTTCCAGAGAGAGAAAGCCACCACAGAGAAGGCCCTTCTTCTGGGTCCCTTACTGATGTATCTCCTTAGGGGACAAGGCCTGCAATATTAAAATATTCCGTGCCTCCCCGCTCTAGTAGGTTGGATAGATGTCCCAACCCATTAGAGTTGGTTACCTCAGATATCCTGGTTCCAAACCATGAAGGTGACAATCTTCATCTTGAATTGCACCCAAAAGCAAATCTGCATGCAATGCAGCTCCTGCAAGAAAGGTGATACATGTGCACACCAAAGTCTGCACATAACCATGTGGGCTGCTGTATTTTGCACCAACTGGAGCTTCCGGATGCTCTTCAAGGGCAGCCCTATATAGAGAGTGTTGCAATAGTCAAGACAGGGCAGTGAGTATGGATTGTTTGTCCAGGAAAGGGCATAACTGGTGCAACAACCCGCAGTTGTGCAAAGGCCCTTCTGGCCATGACTGCTACTTGCTTTTTAAGCAGGAGTCACAAGTCCAGGAGAACCCCCACATTACACACTGGGTCTGTTTGGAGCAGTGCCACTCCATCCAAAACCAAAGGTGGCAAATCTCCATGGACCAAAGGATCTCAAACCCAAAGCCACTCGGTCTTGCCAGGATTCAATTTCAGTTGCTCACCATCCAGCCCCTACAGCCTCCAAGCATTGTGAGAGGTCGGTCACAGCATCGCTTAACTCATGACTGGCTGAGATATATAGTCGAGTATCATCAGCATATTGATGATATATCTCTGTTTATGGTGATGGATGATCTCACCCAACAGCTTCATGTAGATGTTGAATAGGAGCGGAGAGAATATCAAACCCTGCACACACATGCGTGCACACACCAGCACACACACACACACGCACACATGCACAGCATACCTGACAGGTGATCTGGAATTAAATATGTTATATAAAACATTGTAAGCAAGGACTAAATATAAGAATAGAATGCAGTACTCATGAAATACCATCTAAATTATTGAAAAAAACTTCTGTGTGAAACAAAGATGAAATAATAAAATTAAAAGAAAAAGAAGGAAAAGAAAGATAGAAAGGGCAGGGAAAAAAATAAAAAATAAATAAAAGAGTGAGATGAATAAACAGAATGCTAATAATGGTTTGATAAAATTTGCTATCTCATGGGAGTGCCCACACTTGTTTTCCTTTCCTATAAAGATACTATAGATCAACAAATCAGGTGGGGCTAATCCAGACATTCAAATCCAGTTTTCTTACTTGAGAAAAGAAGAATTTCCGGTTTAGTTTCTGCTTTACCTACCCACACCTGTGCACCTTTGTGCCACTGGAGGTTATATTCAACATGCTTAGCTGGAGGTTGCAGATTTAGCAATGATGTGCTCCCTTTCAGGGTGGGGAATGGCTGAAAATGAGGAAGAAAATTTCCATTGGGGAACAATGAAAAGAAATTAAAAGAAATAAAGTAAGTGGTTTTGTTTTCATTTCAGTTGTAAGTGTCAATGCTTGTTTTTGAAGCTGCCAGCTTAACTTTGTTGATGATTATTGAAACTGGGTATTACCATGTATAATATTAAAGGAAGTACACACTATTAATGAGCCTTTAAAGGCAACCCCTCTCCAAAGAAATGGCTTCTAGTATCATCACTATCGTAATAATGTACATGTATGTACATTTCAGTGATATCCTTTCTGTCTGTGGATCACTCTTACATATAACCTCCTGCAGGTTAATTCAGATTCGAAACAACGCTGTCTCTATTTGGAAAGGAAGTGTTGGACACTTACATAACCAATCTTCCATAAGAAAGGAATGAATATGAAAACAATTTCCATGTATTTTGAAACTCTATTTTATTTTTATAAATTTACTGCAGTCCCATAGGATATGTTTGGAAATACGGTAGCTATCTTTCTGCAGTGAATAGCTTCTGCTTACTTTGAATTCTGTTTAATATAACAAGTCCCATGGCTTGTATATAGTTATTATGATAATCTCTGGTAGTTCCTTTCATAGCTGGAAAGTAGACTTTGTGATTAATCTAACTGATATATAACCGAGATCCGAGGGCACTTAATCACACAGAATTTCACAAGACTCCTACATATTCAGGCATTCAAAAGCCAATTAGATTCCAAAATATTCAGCCAGCCAGGAATCTCAAACCATTATGCAGGAAATGCTGGCAATTAGAGCTATTGTTGTATCTTAATCAGCATTTGGTTATTCAGTTCAGTAGTTGGATTCATTTGATATGTAACATCCATTTGATGCTCACAGTTCACAGTTTGAGCTCTCCAACAATCTGAACTGTCTCTTTTATACATAGCAAACAATGCAATTATAATTTCATTGATTGCACCACTGTAGGAGCAACTTTTCAATTATCTCATGCAACATAATTTCTATGTTCTAAAAGAACAGCTTGTCTTGGGACACACCAAATGAAAGTGAACTGATTTTATTGCGCCCTGGTTTAGATGATAATATAAGCTGTGTGCTGATCTCTTGGCTGTATCCTATGTCTTTGGAAGGAACTGATATATCTTTACCAATAGCTCATTGATAGTGATTGATTTCACAGCATCAGAAATCAGAAAGAATAAATGCAGGAGATTAACACATGTATTACTCATTTTTGTATAAAATATCAAATGCATACCTGACAGGAGTTAAATATATAAAACATCCTAAACAACATTATTTACATATTTTGAATCCTAAAACCACACACCAAGAAGGGTTTAAGGCAGGGGTCCCCAACCGCCGGTCCGTGGACCGGTACCGGTCCGCGGAACAAGTCTTACCGGGCCGCTGGTTGCTGGGCGCCGCCATCTTTTTTTGGTAAAAAAGTGCTTCCGGTGAGCTTTTCTGGGTAGAAAGCTCACCGGAAGCACTTTTTCATCAAAAAAAGATGGCGGCGCCCAGTTGATGCCGTTACCGGGCCGCGGCGCCCAGCTGATGCCGGTACCGGGCCGCGGCATCAAAAAGGTTGGGGATCACTGGTTTAAGGAATTTATAAACCTCTAACTGCTGTACTAATGCTCAGGCTGGCTGGGTGCTGTAGTTTCTACTGATAGTAAGCCTAGGAATAGTCTAGTTTTTGCTCTTAAACTCCACTGAAAACTACTGCTGTTTGTATTGATTTGTAATATATAATAACTTACTTATTCAAACTTTTTATTTATTTATTACTATTTTTATTTATTATGAAATTTATTTGTCATCCATTTTGTGTCCAACAACTCTGGGAGGCATACAACATAAAAACATTGACATCCTCAATTATAATGTAACAAACCAGATGAAAATCATGAACACAAGATGGCAAAGGAGGGAGCTAGGTACACCTGGGAGGGAGGTGGGATTATGTTTTAATTAGTCAGCCACCTCCTGTATGAAGCTCCCCCATTGGAAAGAGCCAGGTCTTAAGGCACCTATAAAACATCAGGAGGGTGGGAACCAATCTCATCTCAGAAGGTAGGATGTTCCAGAAAACAGGAGCCATAGCAGTGAAGGCTTTTCCCTGGTTTTTATTCCCCCCCCCCCCCCCCCCACAAAAAAAACACACCACCTCCTTCCAGAAGCAAATACTTAAAGTCCGCAGGGTAGGGAGAATGGAATTCCTTCTTAAATGTGCTTGGCAGAGCGTATACTGCATATGGATGGCTTTCTGGCTTTATAATTTCCTTAATTGCATTTTTATTTTCATCTTGTTTTATTTACCTTGTATGCCACCTAGAATCATTTCGGACTTGGCCAGTGCAGGAATTAAATGGAGGGAGGGAGGGAGGAAAAAAATGAAAGAAAGAAAGCAGTGTGAAATTTGCCAATGGGGCAAAAGGTAAAGACGTGTTATTTTAAATTCCAGGATTGGTGACAACATAACTCAGGCATCCTTCTATTTATCTATACCCTTCTTCCTTATTGGTACAAGTTCTGCCACATTGCTTGTGTGTAGGTAAACTTTAAACCAATATGATAATGCAAGACAATACAAAAGGGAGGTGGCATTCAGCAGGTTCTGACCAGTTCTGGAGAACCGGTAGTGAAAATTTGATTAGTTCAGAGAACTGGCAAATCCCACCTCTGACTGGAGATATTACAGTATCCCTCCCCTGCCACGCCCACCAAGCCACGCCCACAGAACCAGTAGTAAAAACATTTGAATCCCACCACTGGAGGGAACCATAAAAACAAGAGCAGAGGGAATGTCTCAATAAGGTGTAATGGTCTAGAAACTGAACTATTAAGAATGATTAAGGAAAGATCTAGACACAATGATCCCCAATACCTGTTAAGATTTAGGCAATTAAATCATAAGTGTGGACAGGAAGAATATTAAAACAATGTATGCCTGTGGTTAAGTGAAAGTCAATCTTAGCAGGGATCCATCTCTTCAGTGGTGGAGGAAAAAAAACTTGTAATGCTGACATGTATTAGTATAGTTGCGGTGGCACAGTGGTTAGAATGCAGTACTGCAGGCTACTTCTGCTGACTGCCGGCTGCCTGCAATTTGGCAGTTGTAATAAGGGGGCTTTGCACAATTTTGTCTTGCGTGCCTCATGCCTTAGTCATTTCTTGTTTGAATTATTGCAATGTCTTTTATGTGGGACTGCCCTTGAACACTTCCAGGAAGCTATAATCGGTGCAGAGTATGGTGGTACGGGTAGTTATGGTTGCTTTTCTCTATGCGCACGTGACACCAATACCCTGCCAGCTGTATTGGCTCTCAGTTGGCTTCTGGGTGCAGTTCAAGGTGTGATTACAATATGGCATAGGACCAGATTGTTTTGGGAACTGCCCTATCCTACTATATCTCCCCCCCCTCATTCACTCTGAAGAGCCTGTTCTGAGTACCTTCATTGGGATCATGTGGGATCCAGGAGGCACATCTTCCAGTGTCAGCCTTCTTTCTGACTTAATGAAATGCTCAACCCTGCTGGCTTTTAGGAAGACTGTCAAGGCCTGGCTCTTTCCTCAGGCATTTGGGTCATGACATGTTACAGTCCCAATAGTGTTATTTCACTTTGGATTGGCATTTAATTGTCTTTTTGTTCTATTATTGCTTGTAGGTTGTGTACCATGGTTTTATGTTCTTTTCATTAGGCTTTATTTGATGCCCGTTTGTAGGTTGCCCCGAGTAATCTTGGTTGATTAGTTGGCCACGTTTTTCACAAACAAAGTCTCTCTGTGGGCAGCTTATAAAAAGACAATAAAAATGTTAAAATCCCATTAATAGTAAAGACAAAATACTAAAAACAAATCCAGTAAAACTGAAATATAGACAATCTTGGGATATTTGTTTCATTGCACAAAAAAGAGCCAATTAAGCATTGATGCCAATGGATGACGTAGGAATGCAGAACAATACGCTCTTATTAGGTAACCCTATAAATTCAGTGGCCCTATGTTGCATAGTGGTTTTATGCATCATTGAAATTACCTTACACTGAAATTCTTTGATTGCGGGAAAGACACCATCAAGCATATACATGCAAGGGCTTTTATGTTCTCAGCAAGTTGCAATTTTTAGGCCATCTTCCATGGCCACCCATGGAGTCCATGATCCCTGGGGAGGCCTTCTGGCATTATGAGTGGGACTTGGAGGAGAAGAACCTGTTTTTATTCTGTATAATGTAACAATTAAAATAACTCAAAGAATTAATGGTATTAATTAGTGAAGGATGTTTATGCAATACTCACAATCTATTTTAACAACTATTTTACATCTTTATCTCCTGGAAAAAAAAGCTGAGCTTTCTTATTAAGGAATGCTCTGAGAAAAATAATAATTCTTATGTAGCTGGGGAAATAGGGCTTGCCATTTCCAGCATTGTTCCTTGATTAAATCCAGGTACGTTAACACTCAACACAAGTGGGTGCCATTTAGAAGCCAAGGTAAATCAGCGATGCGGCTACCATCCTGATCTTATGTGGCCCTTGGGTTGCCAGGGAGGAGTTTAATCTTCACATCTGCCTGGATTATAAATTTGTTAACCTTCATAATAGGACCACTGCCAGAAGGAAGCACATTGGATCCTTGAGGCAAATCCCACACATTCCTTATGCATTTGGTTAAATCACATTCACAAGAATAAGCATTTCTTATTCTGCATGTACAGTATATCTATATGTATTTCCAGATTTGAAAGCTCCATTTTCTACACTATGGGGACATGAGAAAAGTTGGGGCTGAATGGTAGAGCATCTCTTCTGCATGCAAGAGATGCCAATTCAAGCCTGGTATTGCCACTAGGGATGAAAAACCTCCTGTTTAAAGAATTGAAGAGAGGCTAATAGACAGAAAAGCCAATTCTGGGTTAGAAGAGCTGTCAGTTGAGCCTTGTATAAGGAACTGACTACAGAAAAGATCAGAAAGTCATGCATCTATCAAGGGATGATCCTATTTTTTAAAATAAATTTTATTAGATATAAACATTAAAAAAAACAGTGAACATGGTATTTCTTCTTTGACATACATTTCTGTCCAATTTTTTAACAGTTAAAAATAAAAATAAATAAAAAAGTCAATACATTTACATCCATCCATCCATTTTTGTGTATCATTTTTCCAATTATCTTTATATTCCTTTTAAACACTTCTCCACATTTTAAATCTAAGAACATCCTTTCATGTCCCTCCATTTATAAAATTTGTTCCATATTTTATAATATTCTAGTTCATCTCGCTCCTTCAATTCAAGGGTAAGTGTATCTAGTTCGGTGCGTTGTAATATTTTCCCAATCAAGGCATCTTCGCTTGGAATCTCTCTTGCCTTCCAATTCTGGGGTTAGAAGGGCTGTCAGTTGAGCCTTGTATAAGGAACGGACTCTACCGAAAAGAGCAGAAGGGCTTGCACCTCTCAAGCGATGATCCTATTAATACCATCAATTATATTCTGGATGCTCAGAGGAGCCATTGCCTTGCATTAGTTTAGAATCTGACTGGCTAGTGCTAATGCAGACACTGAGGCATAATTTAAATTTGGGTTATATGAAAGATGATAGTCATCTATATGGTGATGTTGGAACATAATCAACCTCTTGTAAATAATTATATTGTTCCTTTTCTCCAGCTCACCTTTCCTGGGCCATGGCTTCTAGAGCACCATCTGGCACCACTGTTGCTCCCAGAGGCTCCAGTAACCTCACCACAAGTGCTGTGCTAACCACTGCCCAGCCCAGCTTCATTGAAGGCCTTATAAACAAAATTCCACGTGAGTCAATTCAAGGCATGATGCAACGAACAGTTCATTCAAGGATCTTATTATGCGTAGCTCAGCTGAGAAGTTCTTGAAGGCTCAACTCATACCTAAGTTGGATTTCTTTGCAACAAGTGATTGGAGGCTTCTTCTTCTTCTTCTTCTTCTTCTTCTTCTTCTTCTTCTTCTTCTTCTTCTTCTTCTTCTTCTTCTTCTTCTTCTTCTTCTTCTTCTTCTTCTTCTCATTATTATTATTATTATCATAATTATTATTATTGTTGTTGTTATCATCATTATTGTCATTATTATCATCATTATTGTTATCATCATCATCATTGTTGTTGTTATTATTATTATCATTATTATCATCATCATTATTATCATTATTGTTGTTGTTGTTGTTGTTTTCTTTCATCCATTCAGTCGTGTTTGGATCTTGGAGACTTCCTGGACATGTCCCTGCAGTTTTCTTGACAAAGTTTTTCAGAAGTGATTTGCTATTGTCTCCTTCCTAGGTCTGAGAAAGAGTGACTAGTCCAAGGTCACTCAGCCAGCTTCATGCCCAAGGCAGGATTAGAATTCATACCCTCCCAGTTTCTAGTCTGATGCCTTAACAGCTATACCAGATACATTTACTAAAAAACATTTACTAAAAAACACATTACTAAAAATACATTTGACTAAAAATACATTTACTAAAAAAAAAAAAGGATGACCATGAATTTTATATATATATATTCCTAGAAACTAATCATAGAAATTTCCCTACCATAAGAATCCTGGCCAATAAGTGGGTGCAGAATGTGTGTGTGCACTCATTAAAAACCACCTTCTAGAAAAATAAGGCCCCATTGTCAAATTGATAAAAATTACCTAAAATATACATATTCCATTTCTAAATTTAATCCTTTCTCCCAAATCTGGACATACCAATTTTTTTCACATGTATACGAACTGGTCAAACACACAAGCACATGCCTGTTCCTTTTCTTTCCTTTTTTTACCCAGCAGAAACAGCCACAAAGCAGAGGGGTTACATGGAGAAGGACAGGTTCAGTGGTGGGATTCAATTTTTTTTTACTACCGGTTCTGTGGGTGTGGCTTGGTGGGCATGGCAGGGGAAGGATACTGCAAAATCTCCAGTCAGAGGTGGTATTTGTCGGTTCTCCGAACTACTCAAAATTTCTGCTATCGGTTCTCCAGAACTGGTCAGAACCTGCTGAATACCACCTCTGGACAGGTTATAGGAAATATGTAGCTGCCATGAGATGTGAAAGGAGGGATGGAAAGATGGATGGAAATGAGAACTGTATAGGGGGGAAAAAAGGAGGGGAGACCTTAGTTTAGGCATTACAAACAATGGTAAAAATAACCAATATTCCTTTGTAAAACAGCAGTTATTTTATGCTTTGCAACTGAGATGTCTGCAGCCACTAGTCCTGTTGATTCTCCTAGTTTTTTTTTAGAACAGACAAGAAGACACCCTCAATTTTGAATTTTAAGATTGTTTTACAAATATAAAAGTAGAGCATATCTGGTCATGTAGACACTGCTAAACAACACAAATAAGCTCTGGAAGCTTTTATTTAAAGTCCACTGCTCCTACATCAGCTCTACATTTGATAGTAAGCCCTGGAGTTTGGTATAGAGAAGAAAAAGAGGAGATAAATTGGCCCCATTTTGATACACTTTCACATGGCCCTAAAGACCTGGCTTTGCTAACGGACCTGGGAAACAGTGTGAGATGGAGTCTACCAAGTGGCTTATTGGATGACTGATTGTTGTTGCCAGGTGGGTGGAAGGTTATTGTTTTTTATTGGGTTTTTTAATATTGGTTTTTTGTCTTTGCAAGCTGCCTGAAGTCACTGAGGGTGAGTTGGGCAGCCATATAAATTTTCATAAATGAATGAATGAATGAATATGTATGTATGAATGAATAAATGGTTGTCAATGATTTTACATTACATTAAGCTATTATAGAACAAGGCTTAAAGTGTCAGATGTGGCTCATCAATGTAACATAACCCATGGTTAATAAAGCTATTTGATGTATGAAAGTAGGCAGAATAATCAATGAGATTTTAAAAAATTCTTATTTGTAAACTTACCTTGATCAGGCCATTTTAGCAACAGAAGAGGAGACTTCCTTGTATGTTCCTAATGTTCTGCACAGTTGTTTATTCTAGAACATTATTCTGTTCTGTTATTCAAGAGAAATTAGTCGTCCATTTAATTCTCATGGCAACACATACATAATGCCCGGGAACCTTGCTGAGATTATAAAATCAGACTTTAAAAGTACTCCTGGATTGAACTCAAACTCTCCATTCTGAAACAATAGGATTGCTGGGAGAGCTTGCCTCTCTCTCTCTCTTTTAACACAGTGAATGAGTGGAAACATTTATCTCCTCCCTTTTGTGATTCTAAAGGACAAAAATGTTTTATTAATGTATATGAAAAGTAGAGCATTTAGTGTAGTCCTTACCATATCTGTTCATCATGGATCAAAGTGTCTAAGCCCATCTTCAACACATTCTTTGATTCTTCAATCTTCCTCATTCATTCTTTTTGGTCCCATTTTTCTTTCATCCTTCAGAAGTATTAAAATTCAGGCATTCCTTGAGGATGACAATAAGATCTGCCATCTTACAGAGAAATTGAAAGACCATGGGAAAGAAAAAAAGTCATCCCTATCAAATACCGTAGATGTCATGCATCAATAAGCTATTACCATAACTCTGTTTATGCATGTTCTTTTTAATCTTTTGCTAATTGACTTTGGCATGATAAGATGAAGGGCAAATTATTTATCTATTGGGAAGGTGGCATTAGATGAATAAACAAAAATCTTTTTTAAAAAAAATAAAGAGAACTGACTCAATAATTTATTGTACCCTTTTGGCATAGTGATTAGGAGAATTAAAATATAATTTATGGTAACTCCTATCATTGGTGTCCTTCCAGATGTGGAGACTCTAATTCCTGACGTGGTGAACGGTGTCAGTCAATAGGCATCTTGGCTGAGGGTAATGGAAATGGTAGTCTAATATGGTCTGCTTCCAAATGCAGTTCAGGGTATTAGTTATGGCCTTTAAAGCCCTTAATGTCATAGGTCCAGGCTATCTGATGAACCGCCTCATCCCGCTAGGACTAGCCTGTCCTCCTTGTGCTAGCAGAGGCCCTACTTCAGATCCTATCCGTCAGAGATCTCTGATTATCAGGATTCAGAAGAAAAACCATCTCTGCTTCAGTGCCTGCCCTTTGGAACATCTTACCCTCTAAACTAAGATCTTCCCCCTCCCTCCTATCTTTCCACAAAAGACCAAAGACCTGGCTCTGCAGGTTGGCCTAGGTACCAAATGGGGGAGTTCCACACTGGAGGTGGCTGCTAGACTGATGGCAGACTCTACATTCCCCGCCCCTATCTTTTTGGTTATCATATTGATGTATTCTCATTGTGTTCCTTTTTCATTGTTTATTTTATTTTTCTATTATCTTACTTCTGTTTACACCGCTTTCATTTTCTTTCTTTTTATTATTATTATTGTAAGCTGCTTTACATGACAAGATAGGCAGAAAATACATTTAATAAATCAGTAAATCTTTGGCAGATACTAGGTTAGGTATTAATTGTTGTAAATGCTTAATTCTTTGACATAGCCAGCCCCATCTCCTATTTTGCAGATAATTATTATGATTTGTCTACATTTGGAAATGATACTAGAGCAGCACCCCGCAACCTTTTGGGCACCAGGGATGAATTCTATGGAGAAAGGTTTTTCTGCAGACCAGAGGAGGCATGGTTTTGCATGCTGTCTGTATCCCACGGATGAGGTTTCAGTTGTTTGTGGAGCCAGTTGTTGGCATGCCAGGGACCAGTGCCGGCCCATGGACTAGGGGCTGGGGACTTCTGTAGTAGAGCCTCCAAATAAGTGGTGGGATTCAAAATTTTTTACTACCGGTTCTGTGGACGTGGCTTGGTGGGCATGGCAGGGGAAGGATACCGCAAAATTCCATTCCCTCCCCATTCCACTAACCTGCTTTCCAGCTCCGTTCTCCTGTGCAGGGCAACAAAAGAAGACCAGCCAATCAGCTGGGACTCGGGAGGCAGAGAATAGATGGGGGTGGGGCCAGTCAGAGGTGGTATTTGCTGGTTCTCCGAACTACTCAAAATTTCTGCTACCAGTTCTCCAGAACTGGTCAGAACCTGCTGAATACCATCTCTGCTCCAAATCTTTGTACTTTCCAGAAACGATTCCCTGATTTGCATTACATGATTTTTTTCCCTCTTTCTTGTCTCCTGCTACTGAAACAGTACCCAGATGGGCTCTCATAGCAATTGCTGTAGCAGCAGGCATAGTTCTGCTACTTTTCCTTATCTGTATCATCAAGTGCTGCTGCTGCAAGAAGAAACACAAGAAGAAGGAGAAGCTCAACTTAAGAAACATTAATGGTGCCTCCACAACAGCCAGCTTGGTAGGTACTCTTGGGTTTTTGGATGGAATAGCATTTTGATTTTTAAGTTCAAATTTCAAGAGGACTGAAACCCCTGGAGAACCTTCAATGAGTTTTCAGTTAGGAGACAGCCTGGCTTCTAGGCTTGAAGTACAAATACATGGCAGGGGGAAAAGAAAACAAGATGGATACAATCCAACTGATCTCAGTAGGGGTTAAGCAAGAACTGGCAATCAGAGAGTCAAAAAAAAAAAAATCAAATCAGAGGACATGAATGCATAATCAAAGTTATGATACTTATTAAGAAGGAGGCAGAACTTCAGTTTTCACTTGTGTCTGCTATCTTGACATTTGATCATCTGTGTAGATGTCCCCGGTAGCTAAGTGATTGGAAACAGTTGATATGACACAGAAGCTCAATCTTGGAGTATATTAATATCTTTGATAGATCACTGATGAAATCATACACAGGTCTAATTTTTACTCCTTGGCTCCAAATACCTATTTCTTAGTACAGGTGATCCACAGTTAATGGCCACTTGTTCAGTGACCATTCAAACTTGTGATGGCACTGAATGAGGGTACTTATGACTGGTCCTCAGAGGTCTGGCTGACCCAGAGGGCAAACAGGGTGCTCAGCAACCAGCCCGGATTTCTGCCCAACACAGTGTCCCACAGTCATGTAATTGCAGTTTGCAATCTCTTCTTATGCCTTCCCACAAGCAAAAGCAATGAGGAATCGGCAGAAAATCAGAAGTTGTGGACGCATCCACGAGGAACCACTTAATCCACGAGGAACCACTTAACAATAGTAACCAGGGATGGCCAGAACTGCTGCCACTAAGTAATATCACCAAACACACTTTACAATTGCATCACTTAGAGGTGAAAATTTCAGTCCCAATTACTGTTGTTAAATAAAGACTACCTGTACATTTTCAAAGTACAATGTTTTCATTGCCGTTGATAGATTTTGAATTGGTTTTGTGTCTCCAAGAACTGAATATAATACAATAAACACCAGAGGATTGTTGTTATAGGGAAAAATAGAAGTGGGGGACACACTGAGTTCCTGAATGTAATATGGCATATAATATATATAGTCAACCCAAAGTCAGTCATACTTCATAGACCATTTATTGTATGAATTGCATTGAATGTTTGAATGAAAGATGCTAATATTTTGATGTAGGTCCAACCTGATTTGGAAGACATTGAATGTGGACTGGAAGATAAGAAACGAGGACGGCTGCAATATTCCCTAGAATATGACTTCCGTGGCCAGGAGGTATATTTCACAGGGTGACAAATTTGCACTCCTTTTTTTATTACAAAGCAATATTAAATAGAAATACTTTTCCTTCCCTACATTTCACATGTTTTGTTTTCATGTGGGTGTGAGAAAAATCACAAAACACATCTAGAGACAGTGAACAATATGAAAGAGCTTTATTATTAAGCTTTTGCAAAAGGGAATTCTGCTCATAGCAGAAGACACCCTCCCCCAGGAAGGCTGAGGAATATATACAGGTTCAAATATACAGTCTCTGCCCCTTTCCTGGGTTCACAATCTATCCAACTATGTAATTCCCTACGCCACACCCATAACTTACCACCTGTTTCCCTTTCTTTGGACACTGCCCTTGTTCTCATGGCATCTTCCTATTATATTCTTCTGAACACAATGGATCATTAACCAGTTCTGTTCAGGTCAGAATGACCCTAGCATGTCTTACATTAATTCTCAAGCCAAAATACAAACCCCAATATTTCGGCAGAATCTCATCTGCCATCATCAGGCAGATGAGATTCTGCCGAAACGTTGCTACAACTTTAAAAGCACAACTACAATGACATGGGAAAATACCCGAACAAAGCTGAATACCATACATGTAAGTACCCACGAAAACTTAAGAATATATGTTATATGTTATTTCTACATATAACACTGGGCAACCTTGTATGTCTTCCTTTATTGTACATTGATTCTTTCATCTAATGATGACCAGTTTTAGAAAAGCTAGCATCCTATTGGCAAATGCTGTTAACCTTCATAGCTTCTGGGTTCTTCATATTCATTACTACTCCAACAAACGTGAGGCAGTGACTAAGGCTTTAGTTGAACTATCCATCAGAATTTGAGGGAGAAGTTGAAGCATTCACTGAAATCAATATGGGTCAGTGGTGGGATTCAAATTTTTTTTACTAGCAGTTCTCTGGGTATGGCTTGGTGGACATGGCAGGAGAAGGATACTGTAAAATCTCCAATCAGAGGTGGTATTTGCCGGTTCTCTGAACTACTCAAAATTTCCGCTACCAATTCTCGAGAACTGGTCAGAACCTGCTGAATACCACCTCTGATATGAGTCCAGTATTTTGATTGGCTGTGATTGTTCAATAGGTCTTTGTTCCAGAGGTGGTATTCAGCAGGTTCTGACCAGTTCTGGAAAACCAGTAGCAGAAATTTTGAGTAGTTCAGAGAATCAGCAAATACCACCTCTGACTGGAGATTTTACAGTATCCTTCCCCTGCCATGCCCACCAAGCCACACCCACAGAACCGGTAGTAAAAAAAATTGAATCCCAGCACTGCTTTGTTCCCCATGATGTTTGGGCAACACCCCAAGCAATCAGAGAAAGATCAGATCATGGTAAAGGACTGATGGTAAAGTCTTCTACTAACAGATCATGTCACAACTGTCTGGGATAAAAAATAGATCTAACATGCAGCTAAGCATGCTTTGGACCTTCAATGACTTAGGTAATTTCCATGACTTAATGCCATCCAGACAAATTAAAGTTTCTCAAACTCAGTGACAAAATCTAGAAGTTGATGAAAGGAAGTTGTCCTGCAGCAGGGAGGCCAATACAGCAGAAATAAACCCAACTGTTTCCTAGTGTCAAATTTCATCCAGAGGATCTAATATCACAACTTTTATAAATTTTACTTTTCTACAGCATTTTGGTTTGCTCCTCCACTCATAGCCCATTTCTACAGATTTGCAAACTTAATACATATTGTCAATTTCAAAAATTTCATATTTTTTAATTGATTCTCTAAGTTGAAAGTTGGAGTGAAGCAGGCAGCAGATCTAAAGGCCATGGACAGTGGAGGTACCTCTGATCCCTACGTAATTGTTTTCCTGACGTCTGACATAAGGAAGAAGTATGAAACAAAAGTTCATCGTAAAACACTCAATCCTGTTTACAACGAGAGCTTCATTTTTCAGGTAGGATGCAAGGCCCTCTATAAGTTCATTGACCTGTTTCAATTCAGTTTGGTATTGTTAAAATTTAGGTTAGAAGTTTGCAAAACTATTCATTACAAATTTTTCATTGTTATTTCATGTTCTTGGTTAGTTTAATTGACTTTAGTATGATTTGTGATGTTGAGTTTACAAACTTCGTGTTAACTCATAAAACATTTTGTATACAGGTTTTATAGTTGACAACAGAAAGAAGGGGGAGTTTCAAAGAGCAGATGGCAGTGTAGAATCAAAAGTACATTCCATTCATATTTTCTTCAAACACTGATTAGATGACTGAAACTTCTACCGTGCAAAAATCTAATTGGAGAGCATGATTGATGACTTTTGGCTATGGACATTTTTCATTGGATGATACACCCAGAGGGCTGGGGGGAAAAGCAGGATCAAGGATGACAGTGAATTACATGTCTCAGAGTTGGCCACGCCCAGGTTCTATGCCAGATATAGAATGTTACCTTTAAATAAATCTTTTTTAGTTTTGGGAGTGTGGCTTGAGACTCATGATTTAATTGGAGTAACTGCTGGAATCCTGACACCCTGTCGTCCATTGAAATCACACCTTCTTCATTGTGGCATTTGACTTTGGTAACCCCATTTCCTCCCCTCCGTCCCAAGATCCATACAGATCCCAACCAGTGGTGGGATCCGACAGGGTTAACTACCGGTTTGGTGATTTACGATGTGCTTTCCTGCATACTGCACGTGCACCTGTAAATCATCATCAGCTTGCTGCCTGGACAGCTGAGCTGCGCTGAGTGCAGAGAAGAAGCGTTTGAAACAGCATTTTTTTCCTGCTTTTTCAACTGCAGCTGTTCCTTGCACAGCAGCTGAGGTTGAAAAAGCAGGAAATAAAGGTCAGGTAAGAGCCCGGGCGGACAGGTAGGCCAAAACGTCAGCAGACATAGAACCGGTTCTATGTCTGCTGCTCTTCAGAGCTACTGGTTCTACAGACCTGGACAGAACTGGTAGAATCCCACCCCTGGTCCAACCTGTTGGAGAACCAATGTTGGAGAACCAATCTTGAGCAAAATGGACCTTGGACACAACTTTCTGACACCATTCTTATTTTGCAGGATGATTTTCCCATATCGTTCAGATTTACTGCGTTGTCATTTTTGAAGGACATGGGATTTTGTCCACTGGTAGGAGTGAAATTTTCCTCTTACTCTCTTCTCTAGGTCTCCCAGGCAGAGGTGACTGAAGCTATACTGGTCATGCAAGTGTATGATTTCAACCGCTTTTCCAAGCATGACATAATTGGTGAGGTGTGTCTGCCTCTTGTGGATGTGGACTTACAGCATGTAATGGAACAATGGCTTGATCTTTCTCCAGCTGGCAAGCTAGAGGTACGTATCTCAGATGTGAGGGTGAAAATTTTGTCTAATTAGGGTGACCTGACATCTTATTCATTCAGGGCAAGGGAAGCAACTCCCAGCCCCATTTTTATGGGTCTAAAGCTTTCCAAAGTTGTATCATATAGACATGGAAACAAATGGTTTGCCTTCAGCTGAAAATGCTGACTGGTTCTATTTAACTGAAGAGTTAGATCTTGGTGCTGATTCTCTTGACCAGTCAAAAGTGCTCTTTAAGCTTGATTATGCAGATTGTATCACTTTACTGTTATATAGGAGTTTAATTATATAGGAGTTGTTTCCCATGCTGAAGGTTTTGTAAATTCTTCTGCATGTGGGGCATATGTGGCTAAGGAAGGAAGGAAAGATCTTTTGTGAGGCAACATAATAGGATGTATGGAAATTGACGGGGTTGTGCCCCCCCCCCAAATGTTACTGAACTTCAATGCTTGGTTGTTGGGCAACCTGGCTGAGATTGCAAAAACCACAGAGTACACAACATCTAGCTGTCTTCCCTCCTTCGCACCTATTCGCTAGAACTGGTTGTTAACATTCTAAGCAGTTCGGATAACTGGTTGTTAGAAGAAATTATTGGCCTAATCCTGTAAGGAAGGCAGGAAGGAAACATTCTGGTGTTGCTTACAGAAACTGCCTCTCTATTAACCCTTATTACATTCTTGGCAGGACTAGACTTCCTGTCTCAGGAACGTCTCTGGAGTTTTTCCCCCTCCTTTGCTGGTGCTTTGCTTGTGTAGAGTGACCATTCAAAGTTACAATGGCACTGAAAAAAGTGACTTATGACTCTTTTTCACACTTACGACTGTTGCAGCATCCCCACAGTCATGAGAGGTCAGGTGAGCATCGTGTCTCAATGTGAGTGATATTGAGTTGGCCACACCCAGCCAATAACATGACCACCAAGCCATATCCACCCAGTCACATGACCACCAAGCCACTCCCACCAACTAAGCCACACTCACAGAACCAGTTGTTAAAAAATTTGAATCCCACCCCTGCCTGTAAGATAAAGTTAGCAATGAGAGCATTTACTCAGTGTTTGTTTTCAGTTTTGGCAGTCCCTGTGAAAAGAGATTAGACTAAATTACTCTGTTCTGCTAGTAAAGAACAACAATAAAAAGGTGTTGTTTTTTTCAGCCAGGCTTTTGAGAACAGGAAAAATAGCTTTGTTGTTGTTGTTTTGTCCCTAATTTGTGAGCATTTTATTCTGTGTACTATTAGCTACCTTGGGTACCATTATTTGGTAGAAAGGCAGGGAATCAATACAGTCATAAATCTATTTAGTTCTTGTTGTATGCAAAATATTGTGACATCCTGTTCAGATTGTAAGCGTTGATAAATCCTCAAAAGAACAGATGCTATCACAACCCTTACATAGTATTGTTGGAAGAAATATCCTTCTGGGTTCAGTTCCAAGTGGGGAAAAGGACACTGGAAACATGGAGGCTGTTTGGAAAGATGGTTTAATGGTGGACAGGACCACATGGCTTAGAACTCCAAAGAAGGAAGGGATGATCACATGCTTCAAGATGTTGGGTGAAGGAAAAGAAGGAAGGGCTGAGATGCTGAGAGTCCCTTATACACCCTCTGTTGGGATTTGAATTTGAGCTTGCATTCTGATTGGTTGTCAGACTCCCATGGGGCCATGCTGGGGCAACTCTGTAGGCCAGGGGTGGGCAAACTACGGCCTGTGGGCCACATCCGGCCCGTTGGTCTTTTTTATGCGGCCCGCCGAAGATTGGTCCGTATGTAACCGCGGCCACTTTATCTATCTATCTATCTATGTTGTGCAAATTTAACTATGACGCCAAACTTGAGTTTTGGAGGGTGTCTCGGAGAAAAAAATAGTTATTTTTCCTACCCTGAGTACGGCAGGCGTCTCTTCCACTTAAAAAACAAAACTCTTTCCTCCCCTCACTTTGAAAAGGGGAACTGTTAACAAATGCAGTTTTTTATATGTATCGTATCTTGTGGTGACCCAGCCCGTCTGTCAAATTTTAAAAGTCAGTGCGGCCCCCGAGCCAAAAAGTTTGCCCACCTCTGCTGTAGGCTGTCTTGAGTCCCAGGCTTGGTTGAGCCTTGCTGGGTGATGACGTAATGAAAGGGCTTTGGGCAATTGCTTTAGCTCTACCTGGAAATCTTTGTTATGTAAAATAGGCTGGCCAGAGTAATGGCCCATTAGTAAAGGTGGAGGGTGGCTGAGTTTCTGCTTCTGAGGTGAGTTTCTGCTTCTGAATTTCTACTCTTTTTAGGGGAAATATTCTGCCTTTTTAATGTTTCCTAGGATATTTCAATTTTCTAGGAGAGGAGTGGATTTTAACTTCCAACAGTATAATGTTAAACTCACCATCTTTCTACAAATTTAAACGCATTCTTAACAACTTAGGAGCAGTTGATTATAGATTCACAATAAGAACATTGTGACTATTGGCAGGTGCAGAAATTAATTTGATTTGATGCTATAGTTTTTACAGTACAGTGGTTAATATGGCCCCTGAAGGTGATTGAGTCATTAAGTCTACAATTACCTAGGTGAAGAAAATTCCATTGGATATATAAACATTCTGAACCTTCAAATCTATCAGGCTGTGATGTTTGTTTATTTTAATAGTCCTTGACTCTTCTAAAAGAGCTGAGTATTTGAAAATGAAGATAATTATGTCTTGCAAAGTAGGGGAATGCTAGCAATTTTAGCTGTGAGAAACATTGTGAGAGGAAAGCTATGTGGAACTGTGGAAGTCCAGAGTAGATCTGAAAAACCAAGAAAACTCTCTGGTGGAACTACTTGAAAAGTTGTCAGATTTGCAAAAGAATACCGTCTGTGAATCACCTACTGAAAAGTTTAGCAACAGATAATATAGCACCTTTAATGCAACCATGACCAAAGGTTCCTGCAAGGAAAAACAGAAAACATTTCCAAAAATCATGAATAGAAAGACTTATACTTTGCTATGCAAAACATTTGGAAACTCTTGTTTCTGTCAAAGAATGTATTACAAAGCGTTCAAACTTAGCACCTACCATATTCATTGTTTTCATATTTTGAAGCTATAAAGAACTGCACATAGATATCATGTGTTGAAATTGATAAAAAAATGCTGTATTTAACTTTGTGCAGTCTTGAGGTTGTGTCACTTTCTGTTCACTTAGGAAGTTAGCAGTATGTACAACTTGACCAGGATGCTGAAATTTTTATATGAAACTGCATAGCCTAGGTCCACATTTCAGCTCATCATAGTTTGTTAAACTACTTATGACTTTCTGGATTCAGACATGGCTCACAAACTACAGTAGCTGGATTTTCCTAATTCATTAAGGCAAAGCCAAACATTATGGTTTGGAGCCATGGTGGTGCAGTGGTTAAAATGCAGTATTGCAAGATAATTCTGAATTCGACCACCAGGAGTTCGATCCTGACTGGCTCAGCCTTTTATCCTTCTGAGGTTGGTAAAATGAGGAACACAGATTGTTGGGGGCAATATGCTGACTCTGCAAACCACTTAGAGAGGGCTGTAAAGCACTATGCAGCGGTATATAAGTCTAAGTGCTATCGCTATCGCTATGCTCTGTGAGCTAAGACACTTAGAAAAAGTTCCTATTCTTATTACTATATTAAGATAATGGGAATTGCATCCCAGTTTCTGGAGGGCATCATATTAGGAAGATACTGCAGATTTAATATTATTAAAATTCTTAAAAATAATTTGGAATAGTCTGATAAAATTAGTTCTTAGTGGTAAGACATTATATGCATGTTCAAACAACCACTTTTCTTGGCAAAAGACTCTTACTCTAAATCTGCTTTTTGAAGTAATCAAATTCTTCAAGGAGAGAAGTGGTCAGAGTAAGTTGATATTATTAGGAGGTGATTAAATAGGAATTATTATTTAATTATGTTAATTATATATAATATTAATTTATTCATCGATATTCTAGATTTGATTTTTATTATTTGCCAAATGTTCATCTCTAGTAATAAACTAGGCTATAATTCCAATAACTAAATAAATAACAGGGCTACATAAACAATGTAGTGGCAATAAATTTACCCATTTTGTACCATTGGAGCAAAGCCAACTCATCACTTAATATCAAGACACTTATGTGGTAAAGACTAAGAGGAGAGAAGGAAGCCATTTTTTTTTCAAAGTAAAGATCTTCTTGCAATATGCTGAAACTGGCAAATGTACCATACAGGTAAAACTCACTTACTGACCAGTGGTGGGATTCAAATTTTTTTACTACCATTTCTGTGGGTGTGGCTTGGTGGGCATAGCTCTGTGGTCATGTGACTGGGTGAGCGCAGCTATGTGTTCATGTGACTGGGTGGGCGTGGCTATGTGGTCATGTGACTAGGGGGTCAAAAGACAGAAACTCACTTTCTGGAGCAGGGGGTTGGACTAGATGACCACCAGGTACTTCCAGCCCTGTATTGCTGTGCTCTGAAGGTGCATCTAGTGCCAAGGTTTGTGGTCCTTCCTTCCTCTCCTTTTTTCCTCCCTCCCTCCCTCCCTTTGGTTCAGCTGAATCGGTAGCATTTTTTTATGACCAGTTCAGCCGAACTGGGCTGAACAGTAGAATACCACCACTGTTACTCACTGCCTTGTTCATCAACCATTTGAAATGACTATAGCACTGAAAAAACAGATTTATGACTGGTCCTTGAACTTACTGCCCTTGCAGTGTCCCTGTGGACACTGGGAACTTTGCAATTTATGACGGTTACTGTGCTCCACAGTGATGTGAACGCCACTTGCAAGCTTAACAGCTGGCAGCAAAATTTATGGGGAAGCCAGCAGGAAGTCACAAGTCAGGGGTGGGATTCAATTTTTTTAACAACCGGTTCTGTGGGCGTGGCTTAGTTGGTGGGCGTGGCTTGGTGGTAATGTGACTGGCTGGGCGGGGCCAACTCAATATCACTCGCATTGAGGCACGCATCTCCTCGCCTGGCCTCTCGTCCCTGTGAGCATGCTGCA